CCAGTCCATAGTTGGCTGACTCCTAGGCAGGGTGTCATGACAGAGGGACATCGCAAAGGAGAAACAGTTCACAGTGTGCAGAATGCAGAAGGCAGAAAGACAGCACACAACAAAGTAGCAAGTGATGGCAGCAGTGATGTTTCTGTCTCTTATATTCCATTCAGGCTACAGGCCCTTAGGGTGGGCCTTCCCATTATCCACACCCAGAACTATGCCAGTCAGTGGACTAATTTAGTAATCACACACCCTTGACCCCAGCATCACACCCTTAATTCCAGCATCACACACCCTAGATCCAGCCACTTCTGAAAAGTCCCACCTATGACTGCATGAGGCTTTGGAGGAACACCTAGAGACAAGCCATAACATGTGGTTTCAGCTCTGAAAAGCAGCTGGAAACTGAGGACTTTCCCTGGGCTCCTGAGAACTATGCCAAGAGCATTTGCAGCACTCTGCATGGGGCTGCATGGATGCCATACACTGCATATTTCTGGTAGCATCCCTTCCCAGCAGGCCATGTGTGAATCAGAGCAAGGAGGGAACCATTCCCAGAGAAGCAGTGCCTCATGGCTTGTGGTTATCCCAAAACTACTTCTTCCAGGAGAGGAGTCAGAGAGTGTTTGTAAGGCTAATTTGTCCTAAGCTTTCTGTCTGGAATACTCCATGGTTTTAAGAATGTACAGAGAATTTCAAGAACAGGGAACAGCCTGTGAAAAGGTAAGAAAAGAAATGCTGATGATACCACATGCAAAAAATGATATAGGGTCTCATGAGGTTGGGATGACGCAAACAGATCTTAACTAAGAAGGTGCCTCCATCTGTACCTGTGTGTGAGATGTACTGACTCCTTCAAGGCCAGGAAGAGATTTTTCTGAGTTCTTTCTTGATTAAATTGATTGTGTACATGTAGAAGAATCTCTCCTATCCAATTTCACACAGTAGTCTAAAGTAGCACCCCAAATTCTATTTTACACTTACTAAAACAGGAGCATATTAATATCAACTAGAAGTTTTTTTTAAAAGAAAGTCTTGTGTAAAGTTGATGTCTCCTCAAAGTGCTCAAATTCCTGAGGTAAAGTGATTACACTGGCCAACAATGAGCCCATTTTTTGTTACATTGTTCTGAATTGAATTTCATGTCCCCAAAATTCACATATTCAGGTACTAAACTTCAGTAGCTCAGAATATAATATGACTATTTGGAGATACAGTTTTTTAAAAAGAGACTCTAACCCAGTAATCAAATGTCCTTATCAGAAAAGGAGAGTAAGACACACACACATACAAAGGAACCATGTAAGGATTTGGGGAAAAGACAGTCAGTCATTTGCAAGCCAAGGAGGGAGGCATTGGAAGAAATGGACCTTGCTGACTCCTTGATGACACTCAGTCTTTCTGCATCTGGAACTGTGAGAAAATAAATATCTGTGGTGGAAGCCCCCAGTCTGTGGCACTTTGCTGACAGCCAAAGCGGTGGAATCCACATGTACTCCCCAGCCACATTGAATTAGGACCCAAGTGCACAACCTCCTGCTGGGCCTACATCACATCCCAAGAGCATTCTGCTCCTCTCACTTGAGGTGACAGACAGGACAATGACTTTTCTTACTTCTCTAATTAAAAATTCTTCCCTTACTTCTCTAATTGAAAATAGCCCTAAGGGAGCAGAAGGAAGGAGGAGACCTGAGACATCTTCAGGGTAAACCAGGTGTCCCTTGAGAGAACTCCAGCCACTATGGAGTACAAGCTGAGGCCTGGTGGGGACAGTGTTTCAGTCTCACTGCCATAGCTTTGGTTATTTTGAAGAGAAGATGGGGAGAGGAAAGAGGTACTCAGTGCCCGGAAGCCCCATCTTTCACTTTTAAAATAGCCCCAGCAAACACTGGTGGGCAACATTTAGTTACAGGATGGTAGGTTTCTTAAGGGCCCCTTAGCTAGAGAGACCAAGCACCATCATCCCTTTGGAACAACAGAAAAATGGAAATTGTTCCCTGCATGATGGGCATGAAGGGTGCAGGCTTTTGAAGGTCATCACATTTAATCCTTCCCTTCTGCTTTTCTCTGAGCTCCTCACTCAAGCCCAGAAAGGTTGTCTGTTGAGGTTTTTATCATCATTACTTTCTGTAGCACATCTTGTCTGCGGGTTGGACAGCCTGCAGAACTCATGCTGCTACACAAAGCCACTGAAATCAACTGAGGCTTCCGGTCCTTGGCCTCTGAGGGCTGTTTTTGTGGGGTTCCTCTCTCCCCCAGCAAGTCCTGCACCTCTAAGAAGTACTGAGTCCTTAATGTGCACGCTTTTGAAAAGAACAGATGAAAGCTGTGCCTCTGAGCCAGCCTAATTGGGAGAATTGCAGTGTAGACGGAAGGGCTGGGTCTAATAAGGAAGGGGGAGGGGCGGACCAGGAGGAGAAGGGCTCTTTTTTATGAAAATGTGGGCCTCGCCACTGTCATTCCTCTTCAGCTGCTGCCTGCAGATGGACCCTTTAATTGAATTTTCCTACAGGACTGGGGGAGGGAGTCATTTCAGGTCCAAGAGCAATTGAAGTGAATCGATGGCTTTGGTTTCTTTTCATCAGGAGCTGAGGGCCGGGTGGGCTGCTATCAGTCTTGTTTTTTGTCTTCTTCCTGCTTCCCTCCTACCTTCCATTCACCTGAACTTCTCTGCTCTGGGTTATTGCACTACATCTGGGCCTCCAACACAAGGTAAACTAGGAGGAAGAACTAGAAAGACAAGGTTTCCCCCCACACACACTGGATTAGAGGACCCTTTATTGAGTGGATATTATGTCCAGGCCTTTGTTCAGCTTTACAGGAGATAGTCAGAAGTTCAATTCATGCCTTTAGGAAATTTATGCTCAATCAGGAAAAATGCTCTTAAAAATAAAATTAAAAATTATAAAGCAAAACCAAAGAAATAGTCAATAAATAAAGCCAACTGAAGGATAACAGAAGTCAGCATGAAGTTCTAAACTAATTACAATGAAGTACTAAAATGTACTGGTGAGGCAAATATTACGAGTCTTGGGGGTCATAAACGTTCTAGAAGATTTAATTATGGCAATTGCCTATACATTGGTGAAAATAATGTAGCTATATAATCCCGAGCACCTCTGTCTGCCCAGAAAAAGCAACAGACTTAGAGATACTCAGAAGAAAAGAAAGATGAGGTCCAGTTTATATCCCTTGTGAAGACAGTAAGTATATTCTGTGGCTAGGTTTCTGCTGAGTGGACCATAGATGCCAGAAGTTCCTGTGTGATTCTCAGGAACATCATGAAGAGCCCTCAATGTCCACTTTTCCATATCTTCAACCATCTTGGTACGCCCTTATGAGATAGGGATTTGGTAGTACAGAGGGAAAGCTAGATTTTTACAAGGCAGAGACTTCCAAGTCACACTTCAGTAATCTGCCTCCAACTAGACCTTATCTCTTAACAGCACATTCAGCATAAACTCATCAGTGGATGAGTCCACTGATGAATGTAGAATCTGCACGATCCAATCACCTTCCAAAAGCCCAACCTCAGAATTCATGAGACTTTGGTGGGACATTTTAGATCTAAACCATAACCACCTCAGAGTGCTTACAGGATATAGTAGGAAAGGGAAGGATTTGAACTCTCTGTTTAATAGATATCCCTAAATACCAAACATTTTGAACAAAGCAAAAGACCCATAAATTCTTCACTGTAGTGCACTGCAGCATGGAGGCTCCATTTGGCATAGTGATTGTTTACTGGTGCCCAGAAAGTAGCAAGTAAAGCTACGAGAGAAGGTGGGATGGGCAGGAAAGATGAGGCCAGAGGTCTGCTTTAGGAGAGGGGGAGGATTCACTTGCATGAAGAATTTGGCTCTTCCTTAAAAAATAACTTCTACCAAGTTCCCACCATAATCAGTTCCTTTCATATTGATTATTTATCGTCATCATCATTGCCATCCTCATCACCTAATCCTCATGTAACTACCATGAAATAGACAATTTTATCCACTTAGAGGGAAGGAAAGGAAAGTTCAAACAGTGTAAGGAGTAGGAGGGTGGAATGACAGTCACACAGCATCCCCTACACCACAGCTAGCAGGGTACAGGCATGGCCAAAATCCTCCCATGTGCGCCCTCAGGTAACCTAGTTATTTTTTCCAACCCTCAAATATCTCAGCAGAGGCTGACTGGACTCCTCTACGGAGAGCTCCCAGGGGTCCTGGAGAGGCTATCCCAACCTTCCCAAACTGCAGTAGGAAGTACCTGGGTGGGTGGAGACCACTGGGAACATGAACAAAGCCCATCCCAAAGCATCCGGGTCCCTCTTTTAACAAACAGGCTGTACTCCAGGTCATCCTCTAACGCCAGTATGTTAGTCTATTTTGTGTTACTTTAACAAAATACTTGAGGCTGGGTACTTTATAAATAAAAGGTTTATCTGGCTCACAGTTCTAGAGGTCTAACAGGACAGCGCCAGCATCCTGGGAAAGAACCCCTAGCTGTGTCAGAGAAACAGAAAGGGAACTGGCTGGAAACACAAGGGCCCAAATGCATGGAGTGGCCTCACTTTATAAATACCTGCTCTCACAGTAACTAACTCTCAGTGACAGTGCCCCACAGACTAATTACCTTCTATTAGTACTCATCTCAAAAACTGTCACCATCTCAACACTGTCATACTTGGGACTGAGCTTCCAGGATACGAACCTTAAAGTACACTCTCAAGCTATAGCAGCCACCTGTCCTGATTTTTCCTAATGATAGGCACCATTTAAATACCTATTATGGAGCCAGGAGTCATAGCACATACCTCCCAGCACTCCAGGAGACTGAGGCAAGATCAAGCTCAGCCTGGGCAACTTAATAACTTAGCAAATCCTTCTAAAGATAAGGCTGGGGATGTAGCTCAGGGAAAATGCCCTAGGTTCCATCCCTAGCACCAAAACACCAAAAACCTATCATACCATCGATATGTTGCATAGTTTACATTCATTAATTCAATTAATTCTCATACCAACCTTGACAGTAAGAATTGTTACTGCTGTTTTACACATTAGAAGATGGCAGTCCTGGAGTTTGGTTTGAAAGGCAGAGCTGAGCTTGGTTTGAAGGAGCACAATGATTGCGTGTCTTCCCCTTGGAGGTGCTGCCTTTGGAACCGTCCTCCTGCCAAATCCTTAAGTGAGACCAGAGAAACATTTTTTCAGTGATCAGCCCATGCCACCCACTGCTAGCTATACACCTGGCCTCCTCTATATGAAAAAACAAAAACAAAAACCCTTCAATGCAGGTATTGATTTGAAAGGAGTGAGGCACAGTGATGGGAGAACTTAGGTTGTTGACAGCCAGCTGGTGACATTGTGGTGTGTGCTGGGGCTCAGGGATATGAGCAGTCACCAAGAGGAGACGGGCATCCAGGGTGCTCTTTTCTAGTAACCACCCAGGGATCACTTATAAAAGATGGCCAACTTGGACGTTACATGGTAATGCTGCAAAATGATGACCGGTAATAACTCAGCTGATGTTGCTGATCAACGGACACTGTGCTATGACCTTCTCAGGTCTTTAATGAGATTATATTTCAAAACCAGGTCTCTCAAGCTTGGCACTATTGAATTTTGTGCCAGATAATTCTTGTAGGAGGCGCTTTCCTGTGTATTGGAAAATGCCTAGCATCCCCAGCCTCTGCCCTCTATGCTAGTAGCCTCTCACCCATTTCCAGTTATGACAACCAAAAGTGTGCCCAGAAACTGCTAAATGTCTTCTGGGTGAAAAAGTTCCCCCAACTGAGGACACTTTTTCAGAGTTTAAATGGACGTTCCTCCAAATGGATATTTTGGGACCAATTGCTTCTAGTTCAGGCTGGCAGAGCACTGAATGCAGTGCCTGTGAGCTCTGACTCAGGTCATTCCAGGCCATTCTTCACCATCTGCCTCGAGTTCTGGGTAGCAGGGTCACCCTTGAGGGTTGACCCTCCATACTGCCAATGCATAACAATAGAAGTCCCACTAATGAAAGACCCAAAACAGAATTAATTGCCCCCAAACCCCTGGGCCTTGGATATCCTGGGCTGATTTGCTTGGAAACAGCTGCTAGTGGACATAAAATCCTGGAAGAACCCTTTCAAGTCCTGCCTAGACACTAATTAGGTGTGCAATCTTGCAAAGTAACTTAAGCTCTCTCAGGCTGTTTTCTTAACTGTAAAATCATGATAACAGCACTTCCATCACATGAATTCTTGGCAGGATTAAACAAGATGTTAACCATGAAGTTCCTGCCTGTGTGTTAGGCACACAGTAGGCTTAAAAACTCTGAATTGTCTTTGCCCTCTCTTTATGTTACCAAGAAAACAATAGGATTTTATCTGGAATAAAACCAATGCAAGCTGTGCAATGAATTCTATCAAACAGAGGCGTGTTATGAATGGGTAGTTGTACTTCTTTCCAAGCATGACATTTAGACTTGGCATAATCCAAGCTCTTTGTGAGTCTCCAAGTAATCTCTCTGAGACCATGTACCAGACCTGTTGGATCAAGACTGCTGTCAGAGCACTCATGAAAATGGTGTGGGCCCCTCTGCAGGTGTCTGTTCTTGATAAGCTTGTCAGCAGTGGCTTTTCAGAGCCTGGCTCATCTGTCAGATGTACAGGTGTGCTTGGGCTCAGCTTACACCCATGAGTCAAGGTCATGGTTTCCAGGGTGGAGGAATTTTCCCTGGGGATGGAAGCTTTTATAACCTGAATAGCAAACTGCTGCAACCTGGAGCCCACAGCAGGCAATGAATAGGTTTCTCTTTGCCCTGCATCTGCAAACCAAGAGCCAGAGCTCCTACAAGAAGTATCTTTTTGCTACATCCTCTGGGGAATCAGACTGGGAAGCTCTTGATGAAGCTGAAGACACAGAGAGCCACCCTGTAAGCTTTTGTGTCTTAGAAAGTATTACCAATTATGCAAAGCCTAGGTGATTCCAGCACTGGAAATCAGTATTGGATCACCTCTGCTCTTCGATCTTCCTTTTTCAGGAATACATTTTCCTACATACCTCCAGAGAGAGAGAGAGAGAGAGAGAGAGAGAGAGAGAGAGATAATGAGAAAGTAATAAATGAAGACAATGCCTGAATCTGAAAAGTCTAATGGTTGCAAATGGAAAAACCATATTGATGAAGAAGAAGCTTTTGGGTGAAATGGAGTTTGAGGGTAATTCTGATTTCATTGAGTAACTTCGCTGTTCTCTCATCTAATCAGCAGGGCCCTAAAATAGTAACTATAAAATGCTCTGCATATTTCAGCTTACTGCTGCTGTGGTTGGGGAGGCACAATTATCAGAGGAACTACAGAAAGCTCATGAGTTATGCCTTCTTGATGTCACCAGAGTAAGCCATTTGAACATTACCCCAAGAGCCACAGAGGAAGAGCCTCCATCACCTGCCAGCTGTGACCCACCTGGGCTGGGGGCCTTGCAGTATGAAATTTGTAAAAATTGCTTCATTTGGGCTTAGACTCAGCTGAGTTAACGAGGACGGACTTGAGGTGATCATGTGACAACATCACTGTTATGCCACAGAATTGTGCCTCTTGGGGATGGTGGATGGTAGAAATACATCAACATTTAAAATTTGAAAATAAAATATTTTTCACTCCCGCAGGAAAATGGTGTAATGGCCAAGAACCCAGCTGAATATCATCAAATAATTAAGAGCACAAACTCTAGAGCTGGCCCTGTTTCCTATCTTTGTTTACTAGCTAAGTGATAACAGGTTATTTACTTTATCTGTGCCTCAGTTTCCATATTTGTAAAACAGGGAAAATAGTATTAGTTTCTCAGGCCACAATAGAAGACAGTTTGGTGAGTTAGCTTATGAATAGGCAGCTAGCTAGAGAAAGGGCCTGAAGTAGAGTTGAATGATCAGCCACATTGATAAGAACTACAAAAATAGGCAGTAAAACTAGGACTTTGACCAAAGAGGCCTTCAGGCAACATAGAATATGATAACCCTTCCTTACTAAGGGAGTTACAGCCCTTCCATACTAACTTCCTGAGTCTCAAGGAACTTAAAAATGTAGAATAACTGGTTTTTCATTAAACTCTACAAACAGAGTTACTTGTTTAGAGAGCCTGAGTTCCAATTGGTCATTTTAAAACCACAGAACCACCTGTGATAGGTGGCCACTAAACAGCTAGGTATTTCCCATGCTTTGCTCTTCTATATAAGGATAATTTTGGACCAAGAGGCCACGTGGTCACCCATGTGGGACCCCTCCCAACTGGGAGCTATTTTTCTTCTTGTATCTCCAACAAACACTTCCCCATTTACCTCCTTTCTGTCTGTGACCTCATTCTTTGACTTTGTGAGGCAACAGTCTCAGTTTACACAATGATAGCTAAATTATCACAATCTAAGTTCTGGAAGTTAGAAGTCTGATATCAAGGTATCAGCTGGGCCATACTCTCTCTAGAGGCTCTAAGGAAGAAGCCTGCCTTGTCTCTTCCTCACTTATAGTGGTGGCCACCAATCCTTGTCATTCTATGGCCTGCAGCTGCATCATGAATCATCCATTCTGTGCCTCCTTTATCACATGGTGACTTCTCTGCATCTGCATCTTCTCTTCTTGTAAAGACACCAGCCATATTGTATTTAGGGTCCACCCTAATCCAGTAAGACCTCGTCTTCATTTTATATCTGCAAAGATCTTCTTTCCCAATGAGATCATCTGAGATTAGGATTTCAATCTATCTTTTGAGGAAATTCAATACAACCACAATAGTACCTCAGGGGTTGCAGTGAGAATCTAAAGGGAGAATATGAAGAGTACCAGTTCCTGGCACATAGTATCACACACCATTAATCATTGATATTATTATTTCTGAAATTTGTAACAAGCTTACAAAAATGGATATTGTTCTTTTTCAATGGAAGAGGAAACCTATGTTAGAAATTATGCCAGCTGGTTAGTGCCAGAGGAAAAGTTTATTCTAGGTCACTCTGACTCCAGAACTAATGCATTTACTCTTAAGTCTGCTACTGCAGATTATTTAAGTGATCTGTTTTTATTTTTGTTTTTTAATCACAATCTGGTTCTTTTCTATTTGTTTGTAAGGCTTAATTTCCAAACCTTGGGTTCTTCTACATTAGCTCTGACGAATTATTCATGTTCTAGTTCACTACTTTTAGAACCCATAATTAAAAGATACTCAGCTAGAATCGTGCTGGTTCTTGCATTCCACACGTCTTCCATGCTTGCTTGTGCCAAGTTTAATCAGGACACCAAAGTAACTAGTTTTTCCTCACTTCAAAAGTTTCCAGGTATGTCCAGAACTAGTGATTTATAAACAAAGCTCTATGATGTGCCAGCTACTGCTCCAAGTGTTTCAACAAACAGTAGTAACACATTTATTCCCCCCTAAAATTCTATGCAGGAGGAACTAGTTTATTTCTGTTTTACTGATCGGACCTTGCAGGCACAGGAAGGCTAGGATCATAGAGCTGTCAGATGGCCGAATGTGCATGCACAGGGACTGGACCTGGCTACTCCACCTTTTGGATCCAGAGTCCATGCATTCATGTGCTGAGTTTCCTGTGGGAAGGATTTATTTAAACCTTTCTTAAACATTAAGGTTATGTTTAATATTTTGACATTAGAGACAATGCTACAGTAAACATCCTTAAGGTGAATGCATACATACTGAATTATGTGTGTTATAGGAGAACTGCTACTTTGAAGATTGACCTGTTATTAAAACTTTGGTACCTAAAATCAAGTTGCAGGAATGAGGGAAGAGTTCTCAGGAAGTAAACACCTGATTGGCAACAGCCTGTAGTGGAAAAGTGGGCTGGGGAGGGTAATCTGGAAAATGTCAAACACTCCAATGTGAATGGAATGGAAAGGCTTGAGGACAAGAGCCTGAAGAGCTGCCTCTAGAGTGGTCTGCACCCCGCCTCTGAGCACTTCCAACAGCAGCCCGCAGGACTCAGACTGTCAAGCAGCACTCTGAACGCAGCGTATGGCATTCAACTGGGAAGTGAAATGATCAGAATCTGTCTAAAATAATTTCCTTAAGAAAAACTTCCTCTCTTCCCTGTAAGATGACAAGTCATTAATCACAACTGCTTTAGTACAAATAGACTGGGAAGGGGATATACTTCACTTATTTTTTTTTAACATGGTACAACCTTGAA